ATTAAACATTTAAAAAAGTTTTTAAAGTATTAAATTAGTTTTATACAATTTAAATTATATAATTTTATAGCTTAAAACAAAATTATTAACTAAAACATTGCTTAAATTATTATTATTAGCTAAAAAATATTTACTTTTTTAAAAATTATAAACTTTATACAATATTAAAAATATATAATTTTAAGCTAACTATATTAAAAAAAAGATTATATAACATTAAAATAGCTTGTTAAAACCTATTTTAAACGCTATTAACTAAGTTATAAAAAGTATAATATTATTTGTATATAAAGTTTAATTATTAAAAAAAAAAAAACGTAGCACTTTAAACAGCAAACTATAAACTTAGCTAACGCTACTATATAAAAAATAAACGTATTTAAAATAAAAAGTTATTTATTATATAGCAAAAACAAAATTTTAAAACTAAACAAGCTGTTAAAGCATAAATTTTAAATAAAATATGTACAAATAATTGTTATATAAAAGCTAGTATAACGCGCATACAAAAGTATAAAACATATAGCAAGTTTAAGCATAATATATAAACTTGTTAAAATGTTATAAAAATATTTAGTAATAATATATCTAATTAAATTTAATTAATTTAATATATTATAGTTAAATTATTTAATTTATACGTATAAAAATATAAAAAAATGTTTTAGTAGCTTATATATTTTGGTAACTTGTATTATACGTTAAAACATTTAATAGTTATTTATTATTAACTTTTTTTCTTTGTTATAAAAAATCTTTATAAATATAAACTGTTAAATCTAATTTTTAAAAAAATAATATAGTTTATTAAAAACAAAATAAATAATATGTATTACTAATAAAATACTATAAACATTTTTTATATTAATTATATAAGCTTTATTAAAATTATATTTAAAAACAATAACAATTAAAACTTAACTAATTAAAAAGTTTTTAAATAAAAAAAAGAATTTGTAAATAAATATAGTATAAATTTATTTTATAATAAATTTAGCAAAACTAAATCTTTAAATAATAACGCAAACAATAACAATTTGTTTGCTTGTTTTAATAAATAAAAATATAATAAAAAAATAGCATTACAAAAAAACTTTTTGCTTTAAACTACTGTTACACACAAGCACATGTCGCACCACAAGCACATGTCGCACCACAAGCACATGTCGCACTTTTCTTGGCGTACCCCGTACGCTAATTTTCTATGCAAAGCTACTTACTCCACTTTTCAATAACTCCTTTAATTTAAAAGCTATAATAAAATAAATTATATCATTAGATTCGCAATTAAATAAAGAATCTAAAGATATTTTTCTTTATTTTCTAACTATTTTATTTAAAGCGCTATTAAAAACTACGCTAAAATAATCCCTGCAAATTTGTTTTTTAAAGCTATACGCCCAAATAAAATAGTTAGAAAATAAAGAAAAATATCTTTAAATTCTTTATTTAATTACGAATCTAATAATATAATTTATTTTATTATAGCTTTTAAATTAAAAAAGTTATTAAAAAGTGGAGTAAGTAGCTTTGCATAAAAAATTAGCGTACAGGGTACGCCAAAAAAAGTGCAACATGTGCTTGTATGCAACATGTGCTTGTGTGTAACGTTAGCTAATAATTATATAAACTATTAAAAATATTAAAGCTATAATTGCAAAAACGCAATAATTTTTAAAAACTAAAAAAGGTTGTAGTAGCAAGTGCTAACTAAGTATTATATAACTTTTAATAGTATAGTAAAGCTGGTCACTTTATACATTACCAATTTTGTGGGCACTATACCTTGTAACTAGCTTTATATTACAACATACTTTAAATAAGTCTCTTATTTTGCTTAATTCGATTATACGATAGTTTCTAAACTTTGTAGTCATCCTAGAGTAATAAGAGTAAGCCTGTGCTACTACAAGAGCACTAGATGTCATGACAAGATCAGCGGTTCGATTCCGCTAGTGGGCATCATATTTCTTAACAATCCGAATTGGTGTAGTGGCTAACATTTGACGCTCTCACAAACATCGTCGTCACTAAGATGTGAGGTAGAAAAGTGCCGTCAAGCCCGGGGTTCGATTCCCCGATTCGGAGTAGCGAAGACTGAATTTTGTTACTTTTTGTCTCTTTGTATGTAACTTTTATTCCATTCATTTGTTTCAACAACATGGAATGTAATAATACTTTATTTGTAATCTTGTTAGATAGAGCTTGTGTATTGCGGACAGGAGTCTCGTCCGAGATGATCATCCACGAATGAGGGTAGTTTGACTTAGCGCGCTGAGGCCACCAATGAAGTCAATCGCAAGCGTGCCTCAGTCTAAGGCCCTCAGACTGATATCTAGATAGTGTAGGTCCACAGCATGTCTGTCATACAAGGCAATCTCGGTTTAATATTCAGTTGTTCAGCCCTTGCTTCAAATCAAGACATGCAGCATGCAATACTCAAGGTAAGTCAGCATCACTAGACTCCGAGGCCCGATAATCCTTCGTGTATGGACCCGGGGTAGCTGAAAAAGACCTATACCGAGGTTGGCTCAGAGGCGTTGGGATAAGAAGTTAATTTCACTGCTATGGATAATATTTTGGTTCCAATTCCAAGAGTTGATTTTTAAGGGCCCGAAAGAAATCCCTAATTCATGGAGATTCGTCTACGATGCAAAAGATCATTTAATCTCCCAAGACGCGCCGAAAACAATGCCAAAGGAATAATACAAAAAGGCTAGGGTTATTCACTCGCCGGATCACTCGGTTAAAACCCGCTATTCCTGCTACTCATCTATTCGCTGTCTCGGTCCCGAACTGAGGATTACGTAGCTGAAAGAATGCTAAAAAGTGAAGTCCGAGGTGTGTGATACTGCATATGATATCTACTCAGCACCAGTGAGATTTACATTCCGTGGCTTGAATATCAAACAGGGCCCATCGTGAGCAGCCCCAAAGATATCGTTGATTTGATATTCGTCAACCCTCCTTTCCTCGCCCCTCTCCCTCCAATAAGTAGACTCCCCAACTATTCCTGCATTATTTGGCGCCTGCACGAAGTCGTAGCACCAGATTGTCTTAGCGATGATGAGACTGGCTTCCAAATACGCCATAGATCTTCCCATGCACCCACGAGCACCGAGCGAAAATGGTGCAAATGCGTCTTTAATTAGCCGTTCGGTCGGCGAATCCCGGCGAAGGAACCGTTCTGGTTTAAAAGTAAAAGGCTCCGGAAAATACGTCTCGTTGTGCTGAAGAGCATAGGTGTTGACCCCTATATGTGTACCAGGGGGTATGACAACGCCGTCTATGACGAGAGGGCTTGGACTTTTGTCGCCACTAGATACCTGTTGTCGCCAGAGTGTCCCCGGCACAGGAGGCGATAGCCTAAGTGCTTCATCTATGCAGGCCCGTAGGTAAGAACATGCCGCAAGACGTGGGCCACCCTTGATTTCACTACCATTAGTAAAAGTAGAGCGAATTTCAGCAGTAAGCCGCCGATAGCACTCCGGGTTCCTTGAAAGATAAAAGAACACAGCGCTAATGCAGGTCGACATAGTATCGCTCCCTAAATATTTTCGAATCATGATTAATGTGGGCTCTGAAGACTGTTGAGATGAAAGACAAACCTGCTGAAAGGAAAAAAGTCGCTTCAGATCGGATTTCCTCAATAAAGGTCTCCTCATCGTCAGAGACTCGTAAAGTATCAGTCATAAAAAGTAAATTGTGCTTCGCATCTCGGCCCTCGGCGAGACGATTTCTGATCATTTTCTGTAGGGTAGTACGGTAGCTTTTACCCCTCAACAAAGCTCTCAGCCGTCTAAAGTTTGATAAACGAGCTTTAGAAAGAAAGGGTAGCTGCAGGGCAATATTTAGGAAGAAATTGGCAGTGGTGTCAGTCATGAACCTGTAGGTGGCGTCTCTCTGGAGGTTTAGGGGATAGCCAAATACGAATTGCCCCATGATATCCATCGTAAGGTAAGTAAGCCTCTCCGTCATGTTCACAGGAGGAGAGGGCTGCTGACACGCCGAAAACAACCCCTTAATGAAGACATCAATCTGACTCATCATGACGGCCTCAAATGCTCTCATCGATCGGTCATTCACTACTGGACCGAGCAGCTTTCTTTTCCTCTGATGCATTTGCCGATCGATTGAATTGAATAGGCCGTATGCATTTGGGGCTCTTTGCGAGGCCAGATAGGCACACGACTTGGTGACCCGTTCATTTCGATATATATCTGATCATGTTAGTACTTATCATCCGAACGCTTCAGGTAGTTTACCATTGAGTGCATTCACGGAATTGAATACAAGCTTGTTGGGTCCGTGTCTCATCACCGGGCCTATATAGTATTAGCATGTCAAGCCCTCTAATGTGTATGAGATTCACTGACCGAATTTTTCGTGGTCCTGAAACGTCCTCACGTGAAGAGTGGTTTTACTCGCATAATAAGCGCCATAGAAGTCGGAAAGTTTAGCGATCAGCGGACCAGGATACCGGCTCAAGGGATGAAAATAGAGTCGATAAATGCAAACAACAAGGAACTTGTTTGAAGTCAGCTATGGTATCGAGGCAAGGGATCGGTATACTAACGTATGGGATAGCTGCGTGTACAAACCACGTTACAGCCACCACGAAAATCTGCAATAACCCCATGACTCTTCAAGACAAGATGGCGAGGAGCGGATATTAACGAATAGGGTGAAATGCGAAAGAGTAATCAATTTAGAACCACAGGTGATGAAGAGAGGATACTATAGGGGATATAGTTGCAGGCGGGCGTGCTCACTGCTGTTTGGCCGTGATTAAAGAAGGACAGCCTCTGTGTCCAATGTGTCCTAGTTGTGACTAATGGAGACACTAGAAATGATTATTGTTATTGTGCGAAGGATGAAGTTCTTTATATGCTAGTAGAAATTGCGCTTCCTACTTATACCAGCTAGACCTCTAACCATGGCGTTATCTTGTATAGTTACTATTATGGTATAATAGGAGGGATAGAAATGTTAGACATGCATATCGACTGAATTTTTTCCTGTATGACGCTGGTATGCCCCCTCTTATGTTCAATATCCCGGTATGGCGATCAAGGGACATGCTGGGAATGGCCTGCAAGCCTAAGCCATGGTCTTGTTACAAGTGAGCTTGTTTGCCGTCCGGTTGGTGGTATTTGTCAATGAATCTTACCCGCAGTAACGCCTAGTTAGAAGTATCTGCCCAATAGAGCGAGTGTATTGGTATGTTTTAGGTTGAAGCTTCTGACTGCTTCCATCTAGGCGTAACATGATTCCGAAGCGGGTAAAGTGCTTGTATGGTTTTCACAATCTAAACTTTTACTCCCTTTAATATTAGTTTCCCAATACAAATTCACCATTCGTTCTCACTGAGGAATAGAATAGCATTAATGATTTTACGTCAGACCTAACGCCTAACACTTTGAGAGCAACCAGGTTATCCTATCATACTAGATATGTACTCATAGAACACCCGTCTCCTGGTCAGTAAGTTATTTCTTGTTCGAGCCGCTATAGATCCAAGGTCAACCTCAGGAATAGCTTTCAATAAGATCATTGCTAGTCCCGAAGTGATCTAAGAAAATCTCAAGTCTCTCCATGATACGAGGATGTGGGGTTAAGAAGCTTGAATCCAAATATAGTCCTCGGCCCTACTATGTACAACGTATAATATAAGGAATCCTTGCTAGCAATCTAAGACATATACAAACTACGGACCGCTAACTATAGTTGATTTAAACCAGAAAGGTTTCTGTTATTGCCAAGAGGGCTTCCCGTTCTGCACCCATTCAAGAGAAACCTTTTATGAAGGAAGGCTCGCTGACCATCGCGCACAGTGTATACAAGAAATAATGTCTCCCTAGAGTATGTATATAATAAGTATCACAAGTGGTGCTAGGGATAATAGACAGTGCAGAGGGTACTGGCTTAACTAGTAGAATAGTTTCGTAATGCGACCTCGTAGCATTAAAATCCTTAAAATCATGACTTACTGAGACACTTCATGCTGTTTAAGTTAGCTCTGGGGATGATATCATGATCATTATAACTAAAAGGTTAATACTAGACGAGCTATCGACGTCTCTATAGGCGCCATCTGCCGAGCATCTCACAGCGGATGAGAGCGTTCTAGATTATTCACTTGAGCATATCAACGTTTAGATAAATCCACTTGAATTTTATATGAACGTAGAGCCTTTGGTTCAATATATGATTCATTTATAAACATTCTTGCGATTCCGTACAATCAAGATTTGATACACTTGATAGGTACGGCGAAATGGCCTTGTTTCTCGGCCCCGGGCGCTGGACCGACTGTCACACCACAAAGAAAAGGTTTTATGTATACTGGAAGCTACTAGTTTAATAAGTGATAAGCCATTTGCACAACGATAAGTATTTGTTACACCTTATATCTAGGTTATAATACCGACTTTTAATCAAGCGTAGGTGGGACAGAGGATTTGAGGGCCTACTCCTATGCAGGGTTGGTGGCAATAAGCAAAACGCAAGGGCCCCAAGCCAGACCCTTACTGTTGGATTATACTAAGTAATAAAGTGGGAAATGCGAGCCTATGAGGCATAGATGAGGAGATCACCATTACCTAAGCCACTAGTTGCGCTAATGACTAAGCATCAGGGCTAGTCTTGGCGCACACATAAACCACTGTAAATTCAGGCTAGAATAGGAGATAGAGCTACACAACAACACGTGGCGTGATCGCAATACACTGAAATCCAACACTTACAAGCTACCCCGCTACCGCTTTTTACGCGTTTATACGTATTTAATTCTTTGCGCTTAACTTAACTAGTTCTAATTTTTTTATTTTTTTTTTATATTTATTAAAATCGTTATTTTTTGCTAATTATAGCAATATTTTTACTTTTCGATAAAAAGTGTTGTTAGGCTACAGTTTGCAATATTAAGCTTAAAATGCTTATTTAAACTGTAGCGTGCAAATATACTGTTTTTAAAACTACTTTATAATGCTGCTTTAAAAGTATTTTAATTAAAAAAAAAACAAATTGCAACTTTTAATTTTTATTATTATTGTTACGAACCAATAAAAGAACGGCCTAAAAGGAAA